CTGAGGGTCTCGGGTTCGAATCCCCGTCCCACCAAACATGCTCGCTTTTTCAGCGTTATAATGTGACGGTCAATCCCATTATTTATTGGTAAAAGAGTAGCCCAAGAGTTGGTGGTGATGACTAGCTGCCTTCCCTCAGGTATTTCACTGCTAAATTAGGGACGGCTAGCGCAGATAGCCCTTGTATAGCTTTGCGCGAAATTCAAAACAAACAAAATTGATGATATACAAATATATATATAACTTGGACCACTACTATGTTTGTCGTATTCCAGCCGGCTTGATGAGCCCTGGTATTATACAAAAGGCTTCGTCGATACTCGATATAGTAGATTTAGTGTGGTTGATACGTTTTAATACATTATCCTTTGCTTTCACTTGTGGGTTCTTAGAATTCACCTGAGCTCCAAGGCCTGACACCCTCCCTTTCAATATTGGTGGATGAAGCCTCTTCACCCTCTTAGGTATTATGTACTTAGAGAATGGTCGATGCTAGATCACGCACAGCAAATGGAAGCCAGTGTATATAAGTTTTTCTAAGTAATACTTAGGCTATGCAGTGACTTGGCTTTTATGTATTATGTTTTCCACCGTTTGGCAATAATTGTATTTATCTTGGCGATACCTAAAATAAATAGATAAAATGTAAATAAACTATCTGTCGTACCCAACCTAGCATCAACCCTTAATAGTCCATGAGCCAGACCATATCTGACTACCAAACAGAGGGACTAAAAGCCACTATGGTTTTCAGTTAGCCCAATAACTAAAGTTTCTGGAAAATTTTGATGGACCTTTGGGATCCATAGCTCAATGGTTTTTTTTGATGGCCATCTTTGGAAATGGACCCCAGTTCGTTAAATACCACAAAAAGTTAAGATACACGTTTGTAATTTGTTCTGAGGAACGTATCTAACTATAAAACATATGTGAAAAAATAATCTTGACAAACTACAATGATTAGGGAAATGTTGAGCCAAAATAACGATGATTATTACTGCATTTTCAAATATGGGTACATGTTCATCTGTGTGATGAATTGATAGTCACTTTTATTTAATGAATTGTAATCAGATCTGATCTGGCTCATGGACTATATTTGAAGAATTACGTTTATATATGTATATGTCATCTAACAATACTGAAATGTACGTTTATTTTCGTCTTTATAGCTCAACAACACATTGAGGAAGTCCCCATCAATGAAACGGACTTATACAGAAGCTTCAGGGGGAGTATAGCCAATTCAGTGAACTTTCTGATCATGTGTTCGCCCAGATGTTCCATGCTATTCAGGGAAGTAACAGAATTAATGCGGTGTTCGATATGTATCGATATCATTCAATAAAATCTGCTGAGCGTGTTCACCGTGGCCCAAATGAAGGAGTTAGCTTAATTGGGATCATGCCAGGCTACAGACTATAAAACTGGAGACGCCTGTTGACATCAACAGAAAGCAAAATCAAACTGACAGTTTTTCTAGCAGAGAGCTGAAAGGAACAACAAAAGAGAAAAAAGATAGAAAACAAAACCATGTTTGTTAAATGTTGTGATTTTTGCATCGAACTTATACAAAGAGGTTGGCAAGAATACCAAGGTTTTGCATATAGTAAAGAAGAGGCTGATACACGTCTTCTGCTGCATGCCAAGCATTTTGCGGAATATTATTTGGCTCTGCTTTTTGTCACTGAAGTCATAGCTGTTTTCATCATCTGTCTAGCTTTAAGTTGGGAGATTAACAGCAAGATCTTTATAAGACGTGGATCCAAATCATTCGTCAGGCTTGTCGACATTACAAAACTGGCTGCTGCCCTAGGAAAAGATCTATGTACAGCATTATTATGTACCGGGTATGATACGCTTAGTGCATTTGCTAGACCAGGAAATCTGAAAGCTTTGAAACTTCTGTCACATGATCAGAAGTCTAGAGAAGCATTTTGGTTACTTGGCACTAGCTGGACATTTTGGATCAGATTTTCGACATCATCCAATAATTTAAATGCCAGCTCTATTGCCGTAACACCAAAGTGAAGGAAGTCAATCAGTTTAGGTACCAAATGTTTCGTAGTAAAGGAGGGGAAATCGAGTCTGGGCAGCTTCTACCATCTGAGGATACCCTTCTGCAACACACACGTCGTGCAAATTACCAGGCTGCAATCTGGTGGCAGAGTTTAATTAGCTCCCCAGACATTCTTAATCACAGTGAAGGACATGGATGAGGAATAGACAAAGATGGCGGACTAGTTATCCAGTGGATGATAGGATACCTAGCCCCTGATATCGTCCTCTCTCTGGTGACATGCAACTGTTCACGATCTTGTCGGCCAACTGACTGAACATGCATTAGTTATGACCTCAAATGCACAGGAGTCTGCAAGCTGGTCAGCTGCACCGACATGAAGAATGACAACAAAGTACAGCAGGATGAACAGGATTCGTCAGATAGTGATGAGGAATGAACAAGAAGAACGATTTTTCTGTACATTTGGATCGCCATTTAACAATAAAGCAATGTCTTATATTATCAATCATCTCAGACATCTGGAATGCTAAAGAATAAATTCTCAAGTAATACATTATCCTTTGTGTCATGCTACATAATAAACTTGTTTTATTGATGTTGAACTTAATTTATGTAACTAAAATGTAAGCTATAGCCTACTTTTTGTGATATTTCGCGAAACAGTGGCCATTTTCAAAGATGGCCATCAAAAGACTATTGAACTGTGGATCCCAAAAGTTCATCATATATTTTCAAACACTTTAGTCACTGGGGTAATTAAAAACTTAGTGGCTTTTAGTCCCTCTGTTCGGTAATCAAACCTCAATTTTGG